TATTTTTAGGGTTCCAAAAATGGGTTACAAAAATATAGATAACAAAACTGAAATTTCAATAAAGCTCTTGTAAATTGTATGGGTTTATATGGAAGCTACTATGTATGTATACCAATGCATAAAATATGGTACTATGTCTAAAGCAAGAGATGGTATGTGTGTCAATTATCACCGACATTTAAAATCATTTATGCTCGTTACCGACCGTATTGTGTATACAATAGGTAGGTTATTTGATGGCAACAAATTTTGAATATCGAGTTTTCGGTGGGAATGTACTTACACTTCCATGGTAGGGAATTGTAAATAAACTAATTTTAGTTTTATTTTAGTCTATTTCTATTACCGACCGCATTGTGTAAACCTGTTGCTCTGTCGGTCTATCTGTCTGTGTGTGTACGCGTATATCTCAAGTTTGGTTGAACCGATTTTGATGAAATTTTATATGTAAGTTTATTTCGACTATGGCACGGATTGATCAACTTTTGGGGTATATCAGGCCTCGAGTACTGGACTTTTTAGCGGACCTGTTTTACATTTTTGAACATTTTGAAGGAAGTATTCAACCGCTTTACTTGAAATTTCATATATAAGCTTCGCTCGAGCGTCCGCGAAACCTCCTAATTTTTAAAAGAAATCAGATGTCAGCAACTGGACGTTTACTACGGGCAGATATACATTTTTGCGTATATAAAGAGAAACAATCAACCGATTTCATTGAAATTTAATATTAAAATTCTTCCTGCATGCAATTAAGGATTAAGAAAATTAAAAAAAAATTCGAACTAAATACTTACATGTATTTTCTTTTATTATTTCGAATAATTTAAGCTGTATAATAGATTTCCTAACGAAAGTATTAACTACGTTTCTTTGATGAAAATGATGAAAATTTACAATATACTAAATATTCAAATTCTCCCTTTTTAGCACTTTTCCAAAAATTTTTTGAAAAAAAGTGCTTATTAGTTTCACTCTGTCCGTTGTCCGTCCGTCTGTCTGTCGTGTGTCTGTTTACAAAACTTCTACACCCTTGAAGATAGAAAGCTGAAATTTTATATGTACATAGATCTTTACTAAAAACTTATTTTCGTAAAACAAAATTTTTACCTATCTTAACTCACGCAATTAAACCTTAAAAACGAGCATTATGTTAACCCCACTTTATATTAATTTTTGCTTTATTTCAAAGACTGCATAAATCGTTCATCCTAAATATATGCAATCCTAGAAATAGTGGTGGATATAGATAGACTGTATTTAAAAGCAGAATTTTCACTTGCTATGAAGGGAAAAGTGCTACAATACGAACCATTGGTTTAACCCAACTTTATTTTATTCTATCGTAAGTTTTTCGCCGAGTGAAATGAAATTAATGGGAAAATTCATTTTGAAAATTTGCATTTTTAATTATTTTTTTGTATATAAAATTTTTTGTTTGTATCATACCTTTTAAGGATGCAAGTGCAATATTTGTTTTCAAAGTAACAATATCAAAAACGGTAGATGATCAAACCTGTGATTTATAAAATGGCACATTTTTTAACTCTAGAACTTTTATTTATTCAATTTGTGGTCAAAAACCTAAAAAAGATGTTCGATTAATATATTTTTAATATTAGTTCGATGAATATTGAAGAAAAAAATGTTGTCAGAAATTGTTTCATAATGATTAAATTAAATTATTTTAGTTAAGGAATTGGAGGATTTTTTTGGATTTGGGATGAGTTATAATTTTATTTTTGTATAGAAATTTGACAGAGTTTACCAATATACAGAGTCCCCGAAAATCAACAAAAATTTTTCCACACATATGTATCGAACAGAAGGACACACAGAAAGTTGGACATAACGACGGACAACTTAAAATTAAAACACACACTTTTTGAAAATGGTCTAAAAATAATTTAAAATTTCAGTCACAGATATGTTTAAATTCATACGGCAGATATTAAACATCAAATGTAAAAGTTTTAAGAATATTTTTAATTAATAATTTTTACCAATTTTTTTTTATATTACTGGAAGCAATATATTTACTTTTTATTTACTTCAAAATAACTGAATAAAATCCATACTTATACCGTAGGGCAAACTCTGTAAAAATAAGGATATTTTTTTTTTGTCAAAGATTTGAAATGTAAAGGGTTGAAATTGCATTTGGGATTTATTTATTTGGAATGATTTTGAACTTTCCAATACTACAAAAATGTGTATGTATATTGAAAAAGTAATAAAATCAATTATCTATATAATTTTTTACAGTTAAATTTTTTATATGCAAGACAGCTTGTGAAGCATTTTAGCAGAACTTGAAAAATGTAGTAAATGTAGTTGAGAGTCAATAACAAAAATATACGATTTTCCCGCAGAGTATGCCAGTTAATTTCCTGAAGAACGAGAAATTAAATATTAAAATATGAAAATTCTTAGTAATATGAAATTCCAAGAAAATCTGTTTAATTTTTTATTCTTAATGATTAAAAATGTAAATTCAGCGAATAGATCCAATTTCTGGTACATATTTCAAAATTTAATTCAGATAACAATTTTCGTCAGAATTGGTTCAGTTAACTTGATATGCAAGAATGCAGGAAATATTTTTTAAATTTGTGAACAAACATTTTTTTGTGTTGCATCTGACTTCTTTTATTGGGAAATATTTGAGAATAAATTTGTTTTTGCTAGTGAATAATAATTTTTATACAAGATCAAATTATAAATTTACTTACTTTATTCATGTAAAAATATTTTTGTAGCACAAATTTTTTTGTTATATAAATGGTGAACCCCATTTGAACTTCATATACTTTATAAGCACATATGTACATCGTACAAGTATAATTTAAGCTATGTTGAAACTTTTACGTTACCTTTTTCGCGCACTTAATTCCAATTATACGAGTTCAATCAAGCAAATCCCAATTTGTCATTTAATAACTATAATATATCTATATATGATTGTATACTTGTACATAATTACATATTAAACTTATTTCATGGAACTGTCATATATGGAATATTTCTGTCCAATTTTTTTTTTTTCAAAATTTCAACTAACATAGGTTTGATAGGTTTTGGAGATATTCCTTATTAAGTGCTTGAACGTAACTAAAATAACCACTTAAAAAATTTTTGATCAATTAATTTTATATGGTATATATTGCGGATTTAATTTTAATTTATTGTATGAGTAATACATTAGGATGAATAACTTTAGTAAATAACAGTTATCATTATTTTCTATGTATTAGAAAAAGTGTAAAAATAAACGTGTGTATGTCAGAAAAAATTCACTTAGTCAGTTCTCTCATTTGCAGAAAAATGTGACTTCATTTGTGGCTTAGCTCGAATAATCCGACTTCTGAGTTATTTATACAGGAATAAGCACTTAAAAACACTATTTCCTTAACTTGAAAATTGTAACTAAAAAAATATTAACTCCAAAACTTAAATTTCGATTTTCAAAAATGCCCAAATTTTGAGTTATGTTTGCGTTGTAATAAAAAAGCAAATTTGAAATTTCATAAGATGCACAAATTGAATGTTTAATAAAGTTGGGTCAAACCAATGGTTTGTACTGTAGCACTTTTCCCTTCAACAAGTGAAAATTTTGCTTTTAAATACAGTCTATGTATAGCTATCACACTATTAAAATTATTTTCATTCATATACAAAACTATTTCTAGGATTGCATATATTTAGGATGATGCATATATGCAGTCTTTGAAATAAAGCAAAAATTAATATAAAAAGGGGTTAACATAATGCTCGATTTTAAGGGTTAATTGTGTGAGTTAAGAAAAATAATTATATTTTTTAATTTCACGGAATTTACCGTTAGCTTTTTGCGTTTATAAAAATTTGGAAAAGCTTGCGGTTTCGGAAATATAAGGTGTCAAAAATTCAAATTTTACGAATTTCAAGAGGTGATAACTTGAGAGGGGGTGGAGATGGAAAAAAATTTTCTTCTAACAAAATGAACTATTTATTAATATCTAAAAGCTGCTAAAATTTCAAGCTTCTACAGTCTGGGGTCTAGAAGAAAAACGACATCAAAAACTTGGAAAAAAAGGACTTTAAATAACGGTAAATTTGAATGGCCATTTTGTTTTTCTTAAGTTGAGCTATAGTATACCGCGCAAGGGGAAGCAAGCCACTGCCTTTATGCGTTTGCAAAATTTCAAAAATGCTTATGGTTTCATTGCAACGGACGGACGGACAGACGGACGGACGGACGGACGGACGGATGGACGGACGGACAGAGTGAAACTAATAAGCAATTTTTTCAAAAATTTTTTTGGAAAAGTGCTAAAAATAAATTTAAGTATACTATAACTCGAATTTTTCTTGTAATAAACAATATTTGCGTTCCATTTACGTGTTCAAACTACTCACGAGTATCCAAAACAGTTACGTTATTTTTTTCCATTAGGTAGATATAGTATTTCTAATTTACAACAAATGGATCGTGTGTTTTCAAAGTTATTTTGGCATTTAATTGCAATAATATGTGAAATGTCTCTTTTATAAAATTGTTATTTGAATATTAAATAAAAAAAAGGCTAGGTAAACAAATGGCTATGACAAGAAAATTAAGGTTATGTTTTACTCATATAACGAAATAGGCCGTTCCATTTACAAACTACACTTATAAACTCATGAGGCGTTTGAATATGCAAATGGAACGCAAATATTAATGTAGAAAGTCTTTTAAAATAAAATTATTTACTTACTTTTATTAAGTCGCTGGAAAAAATGGGAAAATTTACGGTCTTTGGTAATTGAATACTAAGTACATATTTCTGTTTTCGGTAAACTCAATTTAATTTTACTTCTTTAAATGTTCGTAAACGATATGCTTTCCGAATGTTCGAATTTTTATGAATAAGATATTTTTATTAAAATAATTAATTTCTCTATATTGACAATTAAATTTTTGCATTATAATTTATAAAAAAATATATGAAAATTTCAATAAAAAAATTTTTTATTTTCAGAAATCCGAAAGTGGGTTCTTATATAATGTCAAATATATCACCACGTCATTTAGATTTAGATTTTGAAAAAGGTAATTATTATTTTTGTATTTACTATACCGTAATTAAATAAATTATATATATATACCCAAATATATATGTACCTGCATAATATACCATATAAATATAATATATGTATGAACATTACGTATTACTGTTATATTAAGAATTTCAGTAATGTTCTACTACTACTTTTAGTAATGTTCTTATTATTATTAAGGGGAGGAAAGAAATTGACGTTGTGGTGAAAAAATTTTCAAATTCTAATTAAGTTTATGATACTTTTGATTTTAGTGTAAAATAAATTATATTTCGACTTACATACCTACATAAAATAATATAAAATACAATTGCTGATTATTAGTTTTTTGAAAAAAAAACTTTGGAGGTGTAGCTGAATTGAGATAAAGTTTAATTGAAATTTTTTAACTTTGACAGTGTTGCTTACTAACATATAGTATAGAAAAGTATCAAATGACTATCAATATGTAGTCCAGACCACACAGCTAGGCGGTTTAAAAGAAAAAAAAAAACAAAAAAAAGCAATTATGCAGTTTTGCTAATTTTGTTTTATTTGTTTCCCATCCGGCGTGAAATTCTATTCTGAAAAACTTTCAAAAAAAACAAAAAAAAAATATAAATAACAGCATAGTTTACGTTTCACTTTAATCACGACACGGCACATCTCGCTTTCCAAATAGGCTTTCACATTTTTTAACATTTTCTGTTTAAATTGCGTTCCAAACAGAGAGGCTTTTGATTAAATATAATGCCATATATATCTATCAGGCCTCCAAGTTGAAAATATTTTCCGAAATTTTGAATCGGAAAAAAATACAAAAACAATTCTTAATGTTTTATGTTTTCGAAGTATGCCGATTGAAATATTTTTTTTATTTTTTATGAAATTTTTGAGTATTCTTTATGAATCTCATTTTATTTAGTATAAGTAGTTTTAAAGGCCATCTAGATTATAATTAATATTTTTTTGCTTTTTTTTCCAATTTCTTTTAAATTCTATTATTCAAAAATTTTATTCTGTGTTTCAGTACCCTTCCATTTGGAAGACAAGAAAGGTTGTCTGCGCTAAAAATTGCAATTTTTTTTTTAAATGCATTTTTCAGATGGAATTAACCAACCGATTTTTTGGAAATTTAGATTTTGAGTTTAAAAAAATATGTAGAATCAGTAGAGCTAAAAATATTGATCAATTTCCTTTACACAAATAAATTCCGACACCACTTCTATTTAAAGTCCATATAAATTTGGAATTTATTTTTGATTTGCTCTCTGAGCTTGATGGCCTGATAAATATATATGGCATTATATACATATTTATATGTATATAATATTGATCTGCCTGGTATAAGAAGTTTTTAGAAATTTACTTTTAAAAAACTTTATAAAGTTTTTGTATGCAGCGTCTGGTTATACTTTTTAAACAAAAATCAGAGAAAATGATGAGGATTTCATTTTCTCAATGTTTAAAGTTTTTTTCAAGTTTTGTAAAGTAAAATTTAGTGTTGTGAAAACTTTTGAAACCTGTCGAAACATATGTTTTTCTTGGTTCTTGGTTTCTGACATAGAAGGTTTTATTTTTCAAAAAAATTTTTTCGTCAATAATAATTTTTTTTTTTTTCAAAACTTTTTAATTAAAAATAAAATAAACAAAATGGTTTCACTAATTTTTTTTTTTAAGTTTCACAGATTTATAATCCAAAATCCAAATTTTCGGTGTTTTGTTTATGTTTCATATATGTACTCGTATATATATTTTAAAATTTGACATTTACCACCTATTTACATATGTATAAGGATTCTAAAAGTATTTTCAATTCTTTCGTCTGGTACATTTTTTTCGAAATCAGAATTGCTTTTCTTTTTGCCAGAAATCACATGTTTTCTCTTTTTAAAGTTTTTTCAAGTTTTATACCAGACAGACAGACTTAATGTATGTATGTATGTATGTATGTATGTATGTATGTAAATTTAACAGTTTTTTAAATATGTTCCTTAAAACTTTTTTTGCATATTTAGAAAACATATAATTTTTAATCTTTAATCTACTATTATACATAATAACCTTTCTTCGATATTTGAATAGAATTGCATAGGAAAAATTTCATGCAGTTACATTTCTATTGCGAGCACATACAAGTTTTTTTGTCATTTTGATTTTGCCTTAAGAGCTTGTCAGATGCATAGTTGTCACACAAATTCTAAAATATTTAAACGCCCAAAATGTAATCGCATCCCCTTGGTCATTTGAAATCAAATACTTTGGTATTTATATATTATAATTTGCTTGGGAATACTTACATATAATTGAAATTTAATTAAGTAATTTTCAAAAATCCTTATAAGTTCAACATTGTGGCGTTAAAATTATTTTTTTTGTATAAGTCTGTATAAGCGTGTGTATATTTACAAGATACACACATAAATATTTTTTAAAATTTCTATATTTTTTGTTTTTTTTGGAAATTACATTGTGCGTAAGCATACCTATAAGTGCGTACATAATTGTTACTGTAATAATCAAAATATGTACTTGATTACATATATTTTGTCCCTTTGTAGATGAAGATAATTTTTTTGTATATATATACATACATATACCTATATATACATATATATATATAAACAAAACAATAAATATTTTATTAAGATATATTAAGATATATAAACTGTTTTATTCTGATTTTGAAAGAAAATAACTCACAAATTTCGTTGTCGAAAAAATAATTATGAATTCGAACACTTTGGATTCGAACATTTGGGAAATTGTTTCATCATTTCATTTTTATATTTACAAGAGCGTCGAACAGTTGCATATAAACTGCTTGTGTTCCATTTTAACTTATGTACTCAACACTCATTTCAATTGTATAAAACTTATAATTACATAAGTCTATACAAAAGAGTATACTTACCCTCACTTATTCTAGTTAAGATTGTAGTTTGAATAGAAATACATAAAAATTAAATTCTTAACACCAATTTGAATTTTGTAGATAAGTTTTAATTTCTTAATAATATCAATTCTATACAAAAGAGCGTCCAATTTAGAAAATCCATAGATACTAAAGTACTATCAACTATTCCGTAGTAGTTTTGAGTATTTTATACCCTTAAATGTGACATACGTATAAGTATTTATTGTGTTTGTATTTGTACATAAATAAGTAAATGGAATTGTTTCGTAAAAACTAATTTTTATAAAAATGCTTTTATCCTTAAAAAGTCTATAATTTTTTATATAACACAATATAACATTTCCTTATGCGTTTTAAAAAAATAAAAATCGTAATAAAAATAGGATAATTATTAATTCCATTAAAATACATAGAGGTAGGTATGTATAATACAATATACTTTGTACAATTGTATTACACATTTACGATATAATAAATTTAATGGATATAGTGACAAATTACATGTAATATATATTTTACATACATATGTATAGCATTTTTGAGAACGGTATATTCACAACAGTCGTATTATACGAGTATTTCTGAATATATTATGCACATATGGATGTAATATGTATGTATGTCACAATATTAATGTTTGTTTATTTGCCATAATAACGTAAACAGCTTACATTAATATTATTTTTTTTCTTGTTTTTTTTTTTTAATATCGATTATTTTTCTCGTTTTATTTCATTAATAGTTAGTTGTTGTTGTGCTTTTTATTTATTTATACATTAATAAATATTTTTATAATATAAATTATTATTTTCTGTTACATAAACATGTATGTACGTACATACATATATTTGAGCATGCATTAATATTATTTTTTCAACTTTAGCTTATTTTTCGAGAATTTTAGTAGTCATATGTATGTATGTATATATTTTTCGAGAAAACTAATATTAAGTGTAGAATAATTAAAATCTTTTAAATGCATATTTATTTTTTATTTATACTAACATTTCGAGTATGAGTATACGAAATTAATACTATTTACTTATGTAAAGATTAACTCCAACTTTTCAAATTAATTATTTTTCTAAATAAAATTGGCTGAATTTCTTTGAGTCATGCGAATGCTTCAATTTCTGTAAATCATTTATTAGTTCATTTCATACTCTTCCAAATCGAACACAACAGGCAAATTATTGATGATTTTGAATAAACAAAATTTTCAACTCACAGAATGATTTCAATTAGAATATTCAAAATATTTTATATTAATAAATATAATAACTGACTTCAACGACCCAATTGCGTGTAGCAATTAAAAATTTCGAGCATATAAAAATAGGAAGAATAAAAGGAAACGCATTAATGAATTTGAAAATTTCCCACTCTTCTACGAGTATAACAAAATATTGTTGTTTAATTTTTTCCAACTATATGTACATTGTATATGTATGTATAGTTTTGGTCGTTTTATTTGTTACTTATATTAAATTAAAACTTTTTTAGATTTCATGTGTCGCTGTTGGCACGCAATCTATTTTGCCGACACAATAAAAAATTTATTTGAAATTGAGCTTCGTTTTTGTAAGAGCTCTCGATTATCAACAAAATGTTTTTAAACTTCGATTTTACACTGTGAAAGAGTGACTCATTTATATTTTTCAAAAATATTTCGTTGACACTTTAAACATGAAGTTTAATTAGTCTGTCATTTATTTTACATAAAATTCATCATAATATAATAAGTACAAATTGCTCTATTCTCATCTGATTTACTGTTAGATTTTTTAAAAATAAAATGGCAAAAATTAAATTTTTGTGAAAGTTTTAAACAGCGATCAGTTGATTTTTATTTCGGTTGTGATTTCGAAGCCGTTAACTTTTAACGTAAAGTTTGAGCTACATCAGATCATTTAAGTCCGATATGTAAACAGTTACAAAAGTTTATCGTACATTTAATATTAGATTTTGCCGTATATGTAAAGAGTATCTCAGAGAAATAAATACAATAATTTTGAGAATTTTGTTCGGTTGACGCCAAATTCTCATTTGTTCTTTGAGGGCCATTAACCTTGATTGTTTAAATCCTGGTAATCAAA